GAGGCTGGGAAGGAAGGCCCGAGCAAGGCCTCCAACTACAGAGGGGCTACCGCTGAGGAGTACCGAAAGGCTGCTCGGGAATACGTGTACAGCGGGGAGGGAGACGATCGAAGAATCCTTCCCAAGAATACTCCAATCAACATGGAGAAGACGTTGCCGGCTGAGGTCGCGCTCCTGATTCCTAGAGCTGTGGCCACGCAAGAGGAGGCTGAGGAAGTAGACGCGTTGACTAGGAGGTTGAGCAATATGCCTGGATGGTCGGGGAATTTGATCGACCCTGTGAAGTCTGCTGAGCTGGTCGCGGCGAGATGGGGCGGTAAGGCGAGTTATGACAAGCCTGAGGCTCCTCTGACTGAGGCCGGGATGAAGAGTGCGTCATTGGAGGATCGTGCCTACGCACTATCGCAGCTGAATCAGATGGTGAACTTTCACAAGAAGCACCTCTGCTCTGGGCGAGGAGCGCCTCTGGTGAGCGCGGCCGCCCCTAGTGGACCCTTTGCTCCTGACCAGTTGGATGATAGTAGGAAGTTCAGGCCTAGTGGGGCGGCGAGCAAGATGACCTACAATCTTGTGATACTGGATGGGAAGGAGGATTATCTTGCCGATAGGCGAGAGATCAATCCGGAGCTAAGGGAAACGGGAGTTATCCCTGATGAGGCCGTCACTTGCCAGAGTGTGGTTCCCTCGAAGACGAGGTTGGGTGAATACCTCCCGAACTACGAGGAGACAGTGGGCACTGTTGCAGGACGGGAGGCGGCGAAGGAGTTGATGAGACTGCTCTCGTGCGATTTCGACGGCTTGGTCATCAATTCAAAGAGAGTCTCGGAGTTATTCGAGGAACGTGTGCTGAAGGAGACCGGACGCGAGGCTGGAAACTGGGTGAAAAGTGACCAGGCCATCTGGTTCCTGAAGGAGATTTCGGGCATGGAGAACGCTGAGATGTCTTGGAAGTTCTTCATTCCGACGCTTAAAGCTTTCCCGATAGGGCAAGTGGAGGCGATGCTCATGGTCATGTACGACGGGGATGGCGTTCTCCTCAAGGAGAGCACCAGGTTGGTTGCCGTTAGGCACACGCGGATCGGACGCGACTTGAGTTACAGTGCCGTTAGGCAAAGGTATACTCAGGAAGATGCGCCTGGCGGATCTCTGATGTACGAGATGCATTGGAATGAACTCCCCATGGTGGGATACGTCATCATGAAGTTCTCGGACTTTCGGAAGGCGGTTCAGCTCCAAAGGGTGAGGCGAAATGGAAAGGCCATGATCGAGATATTGATCACGAGGCCCGATGTGTACGAGACCATTGGGGATGGTAGGCAGGATGAGGGCCTGATCCCACTTGTGGGAGCCATGGCGCCGGATGCTGAGGTATCGCCTTCGTGGTATGTCAGGGACAGGCTGCGGAACTACTCCGGTAGGTACGTGGTGGTAATGGTGGATCTTCGGGTGCACTGGTCCTTGGTTGGACCCGTGTTTTTGACGAGAAGGAAGACTCTTGCCGTTAGGAACGAGATCCACATGGGAGCTTGGAAGGCGGCGTATATGTACGATGATTACACGATAGTGTACCATCGGGCATGGGACTACGGTGACTTCACCCCCGTTAGGGGAGAGCACAAGCGATCACGGGAAGAGGTCAGGCTGAATGTGACTGCCACGTTCTGCTTGAGGTGCGCGGATTGATGCCGAATGGGATGCACTTGTGTCCCGGGTGCGCGCTCCCGGTCTTTTACCCGAACTTTATCCCCAACGCGGAGGAAAAGGACTTCGAAACGTGCCACATCGTGCCGGAGTGGGTGAGGACCATGGGGCAGTTCAAGCCCAGGAGGATTCCCTCCGAAGTGGTCGGAGTCATCAAGAGGAATTTGATTTCCTATTCGATGGCATCCGATCTAAGGATGACGGTGCAGAGCGGCATCAGACTTCCCCCTTATCTTGGTGAAGACAAGGGAGGTGTCGATGCGGCGTGGGATGAGCTGGCGAAGGTGCTCTTCCAATTCTCCTATGTGTCTGGGATTTCGGCCTCGGATGCGTTTGTGGAGAAGTGGGTGGCGAAGCACCTGATCAAGACCAACCAAGTCGATAGATTTGAGTCGGTCACGGAGTATTTCCGAGCCAATCCAAGACACGCTGCGCAGTGGGGTAGGCGTATGACGACTTCCGTTAGGAAGTTCGCTCGTCATGACACGTACTTGTCATTCTATATCCCGATGGCATACGTGATTGGTTCTGCGGCTGGTCATCTGACCCCATTGTACCCAACCCATCGAAAGGACGTGGACATCCTGGAGAGTCATGCGTTGATGTCGCAGCTCAGGGAGTACGTGGTATCGGAGACAGGGTATGATGAGAAGAAGAGGTTGAAGGAGGCGATAGCCAAGGTGCAGAAGGCGATCAATGCCGGACAGTCGGAGCCTCCCGCACCATTCCGTGACCCATTTGTCTACGTTAGCGACGAAAGGGTGAGGACGGTTCTTGACGGTCGTCAACCCGAACCATTGAACGTGGACATCGAGGGACTCCAATCAGTGCATCATGCTGCGCCGAGTCCTGGTCCCAAGCAGGAACCGGTCCCCAAGGGCGGAAAAGGAAAAGGGAAGAAGGGGGAAAAGGGCGGTAAGGGCGGTAGCCCTTCCGGCCCGCCACCAAAGTCAGGTGAAGTGCCGGGTAAAGGATCCGGTAAGGGCGGTAGCCCATCCGTCCCAAAGGCGAAGGATGACGCTGGACCTGCTCCGATGGAGGTTGATGCAGCAGCTGCTCAGCCGAAGAAGTCTTGGGCCGAAATGGCGGTTGAAGGGGCCAGGCCGAGTGCCAAGGCTAAAGTGACCCCGGTTCCCAAGGCAGAGCCGAAAGGGAAGGCTGCTTCGGCATCTGAGGCGAAGAGTGCTCCGGCTCCAAAAGCTGTGGCTAAGGAGACGAAGCAGGCCGAACCGAAGGTTGAGGTCAAGAGGGAGAAGACAGGCGGAGGTGACGCTCCCGGCGGTAGCCGCGGGTCGGCCGAGGGGCAGAAGAGAGAAAGGAAGTCCCGTTGGGATCCCGACGAGGCTGCGAAGGAGTCGACAAAGCGGGAGGCATCCACGAGGCCTGGCGATGTCGACAGCAGACCAGGTGCGGCAGCGAGAGAAGCTAGCGGGGATGATCTTCACTCCGCGCTTGGCAGATCTTCGGCAAAGGATGCGGTAGCGCCTTTGACTGCCTCCAAGGCGATGGCAAAGAAGCCTGAAGGCGGGGAGATCCGGCTGCAGTCTGCTGAGCGGGCTGCGGCGAGCCCGGTGGAGGGTCACTTCCTGGTGCTGCCTGAGAGTTCGGTGGTGGACGCTTTCTTGACGATCTCCACCAACAGAGTGCTGAACAAGCAGGTTAGGGATTTCATCAGAAATGGTGAGGACGCGTCGGCACTGGAAGCTCTCAACCAGATCGTGACGAACTCTCAATCTGGGAGGAGGCGTAGGGAGTCGGATGTTTCCCGTACTCCTTCTCGGAGGTCCGTTAGGACCGTGGACACCAGGGATTCCAGAGAGTCGAGGAGGCGCAGATATCGTCCGCGGCGCGAGGATGATCGCGACAGGAGGAGGGACGATGCTCGTGATCGTCGTGATGATGATTCACTCGATCGGGAGCGGGATCGAAGGCGAGATGATCGCAGGAGATCCGAAAGGGATCGCGATAGGGACCGTGCGCGGGGCGGACGTGACCGGAGGAGACGTGACGATAGCCGGTAGGCTGAGTCACGAGGATTGCGGCCGATAGGCTTGCGTCCGTTCTCCAACGGTCGGCGCGGTGCGGAGTGGCAATGTTCCTCCCGGACCGCTGAGGCGCGGAGGTCATGTCTCTCCCGTACCGCTGCTGAGCTGCTGGACGTGCTCATCCGGAAGCAGTATGAGTGAGAGGGAAAGCAAACTGATGGGGGGTTACTCCCGGGTTTGCGGAATTCAGGCATTTTTCAGGTACGCATGGTCAGGAGTACCTCTTGCCGTTAGGCGAGGGTACTAATGGACATACGTTATCTTTTATTTCATGGCTTCTGATAAGAATTAAACTTCTTGCATTTCTGATGCAAACAGTTGTGACCTATTGTCGTCATGTGGACTTTTCCACAAGGTATGTTGGACAGCGTTACCCCGATTAATTCGGGGTGGTGGCGGGAATTTAATGCCCGGGATGTCGCGCAACTGCCTTTGTGGGTTTGCTCCACCGCTGACGGCGGTAGTGTCCAGCTGTTTGCGGACGCATGCGAGCAGTTAAATCCTATCAGTAAATGGCACGCTCCACCCGTCATATGACGGGCTCCTCGTGAGGGGGGTGTGATTAGCCATGGTTTATTTCATCACCAGGGATGTCGCGGTAGTGACTGACCTGTGGTGTTTGGCTCAAGTTTTGGGTTCCGTCGCGCCTCGAATGGGCGTCGCCGAACCCCTGCGTCGACCGACGGCATCTCGGGGGAGAAAGAGACCTCGGGCCGCCGCCAGGTTGGTAGGGACCAGTCGTGCGGCCTGTTGTCGACCAAGGTTGCGGGTTTACCCTTTTCTTGTTTGGTTTGTTTTCCTTTGGTTGTTGTTCTCTGGTGTGTGGGAAACCCTGATCTTTGGGACCGGGGATTGGTTTGCTTTTGGGGAACCTTTCTTTTGTGGCTTGTTTACCCCAACTTACCCATTGCCTGGGCACAGGCTCGTGCCCGAATCACATTATTATTATTATTATTATTTTGTTTTTTTTTGTTTATCTCTCTCTCTCGCTCTCTATTCCATTCTATTCTATTCTATTCTGTTCTTTTCTGTTCGATGTATGGATATTACATATATATATATATGTACACATACATGTGCACAGTATAATATACATACATGTGCAAGCTGTGATTGTGTGAAAGTTAACATATGGTTCTACATATATATACATATACTTATTTATGCGGGAGCACACTGCCACAGCCTGGTTTGCCACAGCTGAGCCGTGGGGGTCTTGGAGCGGCCGGTTCGCCGAAGCGCATCCGATGGCAGGCGGCCTTGAGCGCGCAGGAACAGCAGCAGGAGGGCTGAGATTCCTTTGAGCCATAGCGTGGGGAGAGGTTGCAACCTATATGGTGACTAGTTTCTAATGGAAGAGCGTGGCGGTGCCATTGTGCTAAATGAACAATATGAGGCAAAGTGGCCTGCCATTTTGGCTCAGGATTCCTGGCATTTGTCCAAAGTACCCCTCCCTTGTATTGACCATGTCTCGCTCGGAAGCCAGCACGGATTCCTTCGAGTTGGTGGACACCATGCTGGTGATGGAAGAGGAGGCGGTAGCAGCGCAGGAGGAGTCAGAGCGCCTGCGCATCCAGGAGTCGGAGGCCCGCTTGGCCCTGCAGCTCTCCACTTGGACATGGAGGCGCAGCCCAGTGACCTCCTCACTAAGATGACGGAGCTTCAGGACTGCACTGCCAAGCTGTCCTTGTCGCGAGAGGCTCCCCCACCTTCAGGCGAAGCACATTGTCAGCGCCTTGCCGTAGGAGGGGGGGTGACTGTCCACTACATGCAAGAGGTTTACAGTGGACGGCTGGGATAAGGAGGAGAAAGAAGAATCCGGCAGACACCTGGAGTGCACGCGGACATCCGGCTCTGAAGGACATCACCCTCTACTACGCGGAACGCAACGCCTGGCGGAAGACCCATGACATGGTCCATGGTGGCTCAACAATCGCGCAACCATTGACGACCATCAGGAAGGACCTACTTTTCTGGCAGAGGGAAGTATATGAACGCGTGCAACGGGCAGCACCAGTAGCATATAAAGGGAAGCAAAAGGGGGGAGGCAAGGCGCCCAGGTACCAGCCGGAGAACACACCCGGGATTCCCTGTGGCCAGTCGAATATGCCCTGGGCAAACAATCCAATTCACTCTTCGCGTGGGCTCCATGGCTTTGGGATTGGAAAGCATTTCCTTGCGACCGACAAGCCGTGCCACAACAAAGAGATTATTCTTTCCCCCGCGCGCGGGGTAAGCTGCTCTGTGGCTCAAGCCGCCTCGTCCTTACATGTCTCGGTGGCAACCTGTTCCTCCCCTTCATCCCAACGATTTCGAGCAAATTGGGACCGTTGGGCTCTGCCTTGCTCAGTGTCTTCCTTGCTAGCAGGTTGAAACCGCAACGCAGTTTCACCGCGACAAGGTGTTGACCGCCACCACGAAGTGACAGGAAACGTTGTGTTGAAGAACTCACTCACTCACTCACTCACTCACTCACTCACTCACTCACTCACTCACTCACTCACTCACTCACTCACTCACTCACTCACTCACTCACTCACTCACTCACTCACTCACTCACTCACTCACTCACTCACTCACTCACTCACTCACTCACTCACTCTCACTCACTCACTCACTCACTCACTCACTCACTCACTCACTCACTCACTCACTCACTCACTCACTCACTCACTCACTCACTCACTCACTCACTCACGTCGCCGGATAGAGATGAGAAGGAGTAAAGCTGGCGTGTCCAAGTTGTTGAGGTCAGTGGCAAAAGGGTGGGTGAACAAGGTGGGCGCCTATGGGATGGCCAGCACCCAACTGTACTGGGCAGCTTTGCTGCTTGAGGCTGTCGCACCTCATGTTTTATCATGGTGGACTGGGTCTTTGTGGACGACTTCTGCTGGCTGCTCCATATGAGGGGGCCTGGCGGAAATCAACACGTGGCTGGACTTCGTGATGCACCCCCAAGTGCCCAGAGTGCAGATGGACAGTACAGGCATGGAGGTGCTGCAACTCATCATGAAGGGCTCTACTCTCACATCAAAGATGGCAGTGTGCCCCATTACAGTGGAAGACCACCTAAGGTGGTGCGGGCGCAGCCTTCCTCCTAAAAGAGCTCTTCACAATCCCGTTCAAGCAGTACTCTCCCTACCTACCGAAGTCGCGATTGTCTTCTGGTTTCACCGCAAAGTGGGTTTAGTGAACACCTTCGTGTGCATGTCAAAAAACTTGACCGAGGAGTTTGTCCTGCTCCCTCGTCTTCTGAGAGAGGCTTTTAATTTCTCTTAGGCTCCACCCAAAATCCCGTGACCGTATTCGGTGGAGGGTTGCATTCCCCTCGTCCCCCTCGGCTGTCAGGCGCCGAGAGCCCTGAAGCTGAGGGGGGGGATGTTCATCCCGGCGTAAAACAGCCAGGCACATATATTTTTTTGAGGCTCTCAAAGGGCCCATCGAGTGGGGAATGAATTCAGGCACCCACACAATGCTGAGAAAAGGACAAGGATCCGTAGGTGCATTTTCGCATTTGGGTAATTTGAGCGGATGATACTGACGATCAGGCTTATCAGGGCCCATTAAGGGCCGTGAAGAGCCATAATTAATCTTCCCACTCCGCTTGTTAATGTTGGATAACATAAAGAAGCCTGCTGAACGAAAAGTTGTCTTTTTTTGGCAACTCATCAGGTCAACAATACCATCACATCTCAAATTAGGGACGCTGTGTTGGATGCTCAGGCTAATTCGCCCAGATGCAACCCACCGGGCAGAGATTTTCAATTAAAGCGATAGTGGCACTGAACTGAATCAAAGGGCACCGGGGCCGATTTTTGTTGATGTCGCTGTCTGAGTCACAATCAACCCCGAGTAGATGAAGGTTAGCAAGGGGCGATCCCAACCATAAACCGGTGCGGCCGCCTTTTCAAGTCTTTACAGATGCTGGAGTTCCATCGCCCCGGGTGTTGCTGAAGATGCTGGACCCCCTTGTTGGGTGAGGCATTGGAGGGAAGAGGAAGCCAACCACTTGACCGGGTTTTCATTTCGGGCTCCTGTGAAGTGCGTCAACTTTCTTTCTTCGGGGCGCGGGGCCGGGCAGGAGCAGCTGGCAGAGTGTCGACACAGTGCCACGGAGGCCAGGGCTCGCAAGCGGTGCGCTCCGGAAACCGGGCCGCTAAGTGGCTCCCTGTCGGTGTCATGGCGTTTCAGAGATCCATGGTCTTTTGTAGGCTTCCGTGGGCTTAAGACGCCCTGTTATGTTCTCCTGGTCGGTTATAAAAGGAATCCACCACTGCTGGAACTACGTTTTTCCAGCAGACGTAAGCAAACGGAGGTTATGTCAGACCACACCTGTTGTACGAACCGAACAGCCTAGAACGAAACGATCTCACGTTCGAGGATCCTTTTCACGGGGATGTCTTGCTTCAGGCTGATGCTTCAAACGTAGTTGGCGCCTTTCGTTTTGGGTCAAGCCCAGATTTGCCAACCGAACTTTCAGCGCTTTGGCACCTCCAACGGTGGCACCGGTTTGATGTGTCACTGGAGGTGCGCTGGCAGGTGTTGTCCGGTTCGGGTTGAATGCAACATGGAAGGAGATCTGCTCAAGCGATTCTGCCTAGAGTCAAATTACTGGTTTTTTTTCAATGTTAGATCTGTGTGTGTGTTTCAAAATGGGAATTGCAATCTCCGCCATGGGTGGTCTTCTTTTGGTTTCCCTCTAACACCAACCCAAAAGGGGTGCCCTCAACAAAAGACCCCATCTCAACCTGGAAAAGAAGCGATTAGCTTCCGATTTGACATGGCATGTCCTTTTTTCCCCAATTCGCCCCAAGTTGATTGTTCCATAAAAACGGCTTCACCAGGACTGCCCTTTTTTCGCTCCAGTTGCAACAACGGCAAGCTTCAAACAACAAATAGCAGGCACCCACACCCCCACCTTATCCCACCAACCCCACCCCTCTGGGGTGGTTCGGGGCGGCCCTGAGGTAAGATTCCACTAGGGGGGGGGTTGTTAGGGTCCACTAGGGGGGTTTTACTAGGGGGTTTCACGAGGGTTCCACGAGGGTTTTACGAGGGTTGTACGAGAGCAGCTGCGCCCACCCACCCCATCCCACCCCACCCCACCCACCCCATTTTGCAGGGTCACTGCCCCTTCCGCACCAACAGAGTGGATCTCCCCGTGTCGGTTGCCCCGCGAGGCGCGCCGGAAAGCGGCGGAGGTGCAGGAGGAGCTGGGGAGCACCAGAGAAGCCAAGGAGCAGCTCCAGGCGCTCACTTGGGTTCGGAGGTTTGGAGGTTCGGCACGTTTCTGGGCTTGGACCATGCGTGAAATGGACAAAGGTTGAGTGGGGATCAGACCACTTGAGTTCCTGGACGGGGACTTGAGTCACTTTTTTGTGGCTTTTTGGGCCATTTTGGTGGAAAAGCATGGACCTTCTTTTTGGACCTATCTGCTCAGGAAGGGACTAGAGCCCTGGATCCACGTTTTGGGCCAACAAACCGCACTGGGCTCATTTTTGTTGACTGTTTCTAGGGGTCAAAGTCAGAAAGTGTTCCTTTAACCCGCCATGTTCCCATCCTCTCACTGCGCTCATTTTGATTGTTTCTAGCTTCCATTTGCTTAAGATTTTATGTTTTCCCCTGATTGTTTCAAAGGGAATCGATCACTACTGGAAATATTGTTTTTTTCCCCCAGGAACTCAAGCAAATGGAATCTAGTTGTTACAGAAGTAAAGGGGTGGCTTCCCCTTGCTGTTTTGTATCATTGTCAAAGTCAGAAACTGGAGTGGTTTCCCTTTTAACCCACCACTGAACGGGGGTGACTTTGGTAGTGGTAAAAGAATGGGGCCAGTCGAAACACAAAATTGTAATTGTTTTTGTTTTTCTCCCACACCTGCTTAAAAGCTGAGCTGACCTTTTGCTCAGCTGGAGTTCCAGAGCAGCCCCAAAAAACGGAGCAACCCCCACCCCCACCACCACCACCCCCACCGACCTCCCCACCGACCCCCCCACCGTCCTACGCACGTCACGCGCCGACCCCCCCGCAGGTGTCGCTGGACCAGCTGCAGGCGGAGCTCGCGGAGCGGAAGGAGCAGCTGCGGAGGCGGGCCGCCGCGGAGCGGAGCGGCCGCGGATGGCTCGCCGGAGAAAAGCTCCGCCCCTCCCCCCCAAGACAAAGAGCACATAGAATGTGTTTTTTCCCCTCCCTCCCCCCAACCCCCTCCCCCAACCCCCTCCCTCCCCCTCCACCGGTTTTGTTTAAAGTGCTCCTTGTCCCACCCCCCCCAAGAAGAATACGCACTCAAAGGCCTTTCCTGTTGGTTTTCCTTCAATCCAAGGTGAAAAAGGTCCCCCCTCAAAAAGAAGAAATAAAAACAGAAAGAACAAGCGCGCTCCGAACGGGCTGTTTCTTTGTTGGGTTTGGCATAATATGTTTTTAGGGACCTGAATCAATCACCTCTTTTTTTGCTGGGGCAAAAGCTGATGTTGTCTAGTTTGGGTTTGTGGTTGATCTGGGTGAGCGGTTGGGGGGGGGGGGGTATATGTTGATCGTGTGATCTTCACGAGCAATTTACTCGTCTGGGGCTTGGATATAGGGTCCAGTCTAAAATTTGCGGTGTTTGAAAGTGAAGCAAACAATAGAACCTACATTGCATACGGTGGATGGACAAAATCCTGTACCACTATGAAACCATGAATCAGATGCTGGCTTTCAAGGGAGGGTGATTCACCAAGCACTCTTGGAGAGGTCCCGCAGTTCAGAATATCCATATGCAATAGAATCTACAGTAAGATGTTATAAATTTAAATAGTCTCATCTAACGTGGAACAATCTATAGCATGTCATGTGTTGAGGATGTGTTTGTACTACCCCAAACAACATCATGTTTTGTGTCAGCGCAGGCAAGATCTCTTCTCGCACAAGTGTTGTCAGGTATTTGGGTAGCAGAAACATAAACACTGTACTTACATGACAGGCTCCTGCTACAAATGTGCCTTTTGCTTTTAAGAAGACAGCAAACAATGGCAAAATGGGAAAATCACCAGAGGAAAGTGAGTGGATGCACGGGGGCTGTTTACTAACATGGAAACCAAAGGGTCCATTGTAAAGGAACCTAGCCCAGGACACCGAAGCTTCTGGTTCCCTCTTGCCGCACGGGAGGGCAACCATTCCTGATTTCAAAAGATGATCAGCCCGCTCACTCACTTAATTTTGTCAGGTGTTTGGTTTGGCTGCGGGTCAAAACCAATGGTACCATTTTGGGGTAGGTGCACCACCCATTTTAGTCTATTTTAGTGGGGATTGGGATGTTCACTGGGGGTACGGGACTTTGTTCCATGGCCAGCTGCAGCAACTTGCGCCGAAACCTTCAGAGACGATCGGGTTGACGCTGAGGCAAGAGCAGCGTGTGGCGTCCTTGCGAGATGGCAAGCGGCAGGAGGCCTCTGCCTGGAGTACTCGGTCGGTAATGTTGACCCCAGATGAGTCAACCCCTGTTTATCAATATGGGAGTGTCCCGGATTTAATGGGGATTTATCACTTTGGGAGGGGAACACCCCCATATCAATAAACAAGGGTTGATGAATATGAGGTCAACATTGTGTGCGTAGGCGTGGGGGGCTCTTCCAATCAAGGTTGACGCAAGTTTACACACCTGTTCATGCCTTGAGGGGGAGCGTGCATGCTTGAGGGCCTGCCAGTGTCCCCGGACTCTGAACATGATCTTCGGGGAAGTTTGCAGTAGATTGTGAGTGGTGAACAGTTGCACCGTCGTGTTGGCTTCAGTGCCTTGCCCCAAGGCGACGTCTTGACAGGGAGTGACACATGTCTACTTATTTTAAGACTTGTCTTCATCTTCTTCTTCAACATCTCTGGCTACCTTTTGCAGTCAGCGTGGCTTGACAATGGGTTTCCGAATTTGAAAGACATTGCCATTGCTGTGAAAATTGCTCGTAGACGTGACATGCAGCTCAGAATCCTCTGCGTTCAGCAGGGACAAACTCGTTTGCACGCATCCACTTGGGATTTCCTTGGAAGGGCAGCAACCACATGGCCGTGGGTCAAATGTGTAAGACATAGTGTCTCTTTCCGGAAAGACCTCTCCTGAGGCCTGCTCCGAACAATGTCAATGATCAATGTGCCAAAACGCGGGGGGGAGGGGGGCTCCAGTTACAAAATTGTCACCCCTAGAACCTTCCTTCTTTGGCTTGTTGGCCAGTATCTATGGCACACATGTGTTTCTCAAGATTGGGGTCCCCTGAACAGGCTGGTGTCCTTGTGGTGTCCACCATCCACCATTTTGAGACCCCATTTGGAAGCCATATCATGGATTGTCTTCGAGCACAACCAGGAATTTCCCTGTGGTTTCCCTTTCTCCCTCTCCCAGCCTAGCCAGCGGACACAGCGGACACACTTTCTTCGTTTTTTCTTGGTGGCTTCCCCCAAAAAGTGTGCACGCGTTTTCTTCTACTTGGTCACCCAAGTGAGTTTTCCCTCTTGAAACCCGAAAGGTATGGGTTTCAAACCCGGAGACACGGCGCAGAAATTCCGACCTCCGGCCAGGAGTTGCGCGCCATGGACCTGCAGGCAGAGATCCATCAAGCCAAGCGTGAGAAGAGCCGGGGGACCTGGCGCGGCCGGGCGTTTCGGGACTAATAGACTAATAGACCGGTTGATTATGATTGGAGACACTCCAGTTTGGTGGGTGACACCCCCCCCGTTAGTAGGACGTGACAATCTGGGGTTGCCAGTTGATGATATTCCCACCCAAAAGACACCCTTCAAAAGTACGGCCTTTTCTAGCGCTCCTTTGGCCTCTTAACCAAAATCAAACTTGATTTGGCGAGACTTTTTTCTGAACCCAGTGGCATCATACTTGTTGTCGAGGGGGCATCCCTTCAAAGCAGCAACACGTGCTCTTTTAAGGACTAATAATCTGATGGAAATGCTTGAATGCTGGGACCGGAAATTGCCATCCTGTCTGTGTCCCAAGAAAAGATATTAATGAGTGCTTACAATATGAATCCACATATGATATGAATAGAGGAGAGACCACATCATGGAAAAAACAACATAGTCGGCTCCAAATAGAGGGTCCGCCTAAATTGGTGGTGTTCCTTTTGCTTCCCTTGAAAACAACCCCCCCCCCCCCGGCAAAAAAAGAAGAAGAGTACCTTCAAAACAAGACAAGGGGAGGGTAGGATCAGGATCTTAGTGGATTCAGGCACGAGACACCGCTGCACACGGGATAGAAGGGGCAGCATGGATAGACGTGTCGGATGTTGTTGTTGGAGGATGTAGTTTGAGAGTCAGTTTGAAAGGGTAAATGCATGTCAAGGATATGGACAAGTATCACAACGTCGGGGTTCCCAGCTAAACTTTTGGATATTTAGAGTTAGAGGGATTCATGGCATGTCCCACAAAGACTAGGCAGTGCCGTTGCATCCGAACATGGCAAGCACAGATAGCTGCATTTTGCCGGCAACACAATAGTTACGGTGTCAACAAACAAGTCAAAAGTGTGTTTGACGAGAATGACGCGAAGTGCACAGAAGGCCGTAAATCAGCAAATCCCTTGTGGGGCCTCTTGTTTTCGGGGCCTTCCAAAGAGCTGGAAGAAGCAGGAAGCATCAGGAAACAGCAGCAAAGAAACATGAAACAGCAGGAAACAAAGCAGCCCTTGAACGTAGAGCTCGCGCTTGCAAGTGGGAGTGACAACGCAGGTGTCAGGGTAAGCTCCGCGAGCACACATTTTTATTGTACACGCTTCGTGCTGCCCGCCTCGGCCAGCATCAGCCAGTTTCGGCTTGCTTTGAAGGAATGGCATTTCGTTGTGGGCGCTCACTTCAAGGACGCTTGCAGGCGCTGTCGGCTCCCTTTGTGCCTCTCTTGGTGGGCTGTCTTGGTGGGCTGTCTTGGTGGACGCTTGTGGGCGGAAGTCTTGCGGGCGATGTTCATGAGCGCTTGCGGACGCTTGTGGGCGCTGCGCATGTGGGCCACAAGGACGGAAGTCTTGCAAGCGTGCATCATGAGTGCTTGCGGGCGCTTGTGGGCAGCACTGTTGCCTCTGTGGGCGTTCCTCTTGGGTTTCATTGGGTGCTTGTGGGGTGGGGGGTGGGCGGCACTGTTGCAGGCGCTCCCTTCATAATTGCTTGCGGGCACTTGTGGGCGCTCTTGGTGGGCGCTTGTGGGTGGTTGCGGGCGTTCTTCATGAGTGCTTGCGGGCGCTTGTGGGCGCTTGTGGGCGGCAGTGTTGCGCTGTTGCGGGCGCCCGCAGCGGTCCATATGGGCGCTTACATTACTGGGGTTCAAACCTTCTTTTCATGGGGGTTGAACATGTTTACCTCACTCTGAGTGGACTGGCCAAAAAATGCAACCAAAGTTGTCGTTTACAACTAACATGTCCAGGAACCCATCAGGGAGTGAGAATCCAAAGGGAAGGGTTCAAATTGCCGCCTGTTAATGTTTACAAGGGCGGCATTCAACGACACCTTCTGGCCCAACAGCTGAGAAAGGCTGCGCAACCCCATAGCCTTTGGCCGCAAGGTTGTTTTATTTCTGGACATCTAGCTGCGCCGCGCATATCTAACCGTCAACCTATTCGGCTCGTCTTGTTGAGGGCCCGCAAGGAGATTGGGTGCTCCTTTTGCTTTCCCTGTCCCTGTCTGTCAAATTCGGTCAGATCTTGTGTCATTTGCCCAGAACCCAAGCTTCTCGCCTGCCCAATAAGACGCCCGCCCACAAGCGCCCACAACGCTGCCCACAAGCCCAGCCACAGACCGGCGCCCACATGCTCACAAGCCCCCAAAACTGCCCACAGATGCTATCGCATGCTGATCCCTTTCGGGCAAGCACAAGGAAGAGCGCAACGGCGCTCCCGGAAGACGCCCGCAACACCCACGCCCACAAGCCCAGGAAGATGCCTGCAACGCCCACAAGCGCCCGCAGGCCCAAACAGCACAAAACTCTCCGCAAGTGCCCGCAAGGAAGAACAGCCGCATCAAAACCACGACGCTCAGAGAACACCGCCCGCAACGCCCAGCAAGAACGCCACTCACATGTGAGTATCTGGGAAGCTCAGTTTTAGACCCTTTGACCGGTTGATGGACAAAGTCTCACGTGTTGGGGTTGGACCATTTTAGTGGTTGTGGCTTTGGACATTTTGCTGAGCTTGTGTGGGCGTTGTTGTGGGCGTTAGTGCGCTCTCTCTCTCTCTCTCTCTCTCTCTGTCTCTCTCTCTCTCTCTCTCTCTCTCTCTCTCTCTCTCTCTCTCTCTCTCTCTCTCTCTCTCTCTCTCTCTCTCTCTCTCTCTCTCTCTCCCCCTCTCTGTCTGGAGTTTGTGGGTGTTAGCGACTCCGGAGGCTTGTTTGTGGATGACCTCCAGCTACTTTTGTGAGTACCCAGGCGCACGTAAAACTTCAGCGCTTTGTGTGTCCGTGCGCACACACGCTGCGTACGTGAATCAGTGTGCAAGAAACAGCTGGCGGCGGGAAGGGAGAGAGGGAGGGAGGGCGGAGAGGGAGGAAGGGAGTGCGTGTTTGAGTGCGTGAGTGTGTTTGTGAGTGAGTGAGTGAGTGAGTGAGTGAGTGAGTGAGTGAGTGAGTGAGTGAGTGAGTGAGTGAGTGAGTGAGTGAGTGAGTGAGTGAGTGAGTGAGTGAGTGAGTGAGTGAGTGAGTGAGTGAGTGAGTGAGTGAGTGAGTGAGTGAGTGAGTGAGTGAGTGAGTGAGTGAGTGAGTGAGTGAGTGAGTGAGTGAGTGAGTGAGTGAGTGAGTGAGTGAGTGAGTGAGTGAGTGAGTGAGTGAGTGAGTGAGTGAGAGAGAGAGAGAGTGAGAGAGTGAGTGAGAGAGTGAGAGAGTGAGAGAGTGAGAGAGTGAGTGAGATAGTGAGAGAGTGCGTGCGTGCGTTGAGTGCGTGACGGCGTGACTACGTGACTGCGTGACTGCGTGAGCGCGTGAGTGCGTGAGTGCGTGAGTGAGAGAGCGAGTGGGCGAGTGAGCGAGTCAGCGAGTGAGCGAGTGAGCAAGTGAGCGAGTGAGCGCGTGCGTGCTTGTGAGTGTTTGTGAGTGTTTGTGGGTGATTGTGAGTGTTTGTGAGTGATTGTAAGTGTTTGCGGGTGATTGTGAGTGTTTGTGTGAGTGTTTGTGAGTGTTTGTGAGTGTGAGTGATTGTGAGTGTTTGTGAGTGATTGTGAGCGTTTGTGAGTGTTTGTGAGTGTTTGTGTGCTTCTGAGTGCTTGTGGTTGTGCGCACTTTTGCTCTTGCTGGGATTGTGGGCGCTTTTGTTGGGCTTGTGGGCGCTTCTGGTGGCTGTGGCTTGGGCTTGTGGGCGCTTGTGGGCGCCCTTGCTGGGCTTCCAAGCGCTTCTGCTGGGCAGTGGGCGCTTTTGCTGGGCTCAGCGCTTTTGCTGGCCTGCTCTTGCTGGGCTTGTGGGCGCTTTTGCTGGGATTGTGGGGCTGGGCGCTTTTGCTGGGCTTGTGGGTTTGTGGCGCCCACATGCGCCCACGTGCGCCCACATGCGCCCACACGCACTCGCATCAGCCCGTTTTTTTCACGTTTTTTGCCGTTTTCGACACACAAGTGCCCAAGTGCCCACAAGCGCCCACACACAAGGCTATGCACTGTTGTGGGCTCCGACACAAGCCCAGCCAAACCCAGAAGCGCCCACAAGCCCACGCCCAAGCGCCCACAAAAGACCAAGCGCCCACAAAATCCCAAGCGCCCACAAGCGCCTTACAAGCCCGGTAAAAGCGCCCACAAGCCCAGCAAAAGCGCCCACAAGCCCAGCAAAAGCGCTTTGCTTGTGCGCGCTTTTGCTGGGCTTGTAAGCGCTTTTGGCTAAGGGATTTTGCTTATGGGCGCTTGTGGGCGCTTTTGTTGGGCTTGTGGGCGCTTTTGCTGCGTGTGGGCGCTTGTGGGCTCTCTTGGGTGCTTGTGCGCTCTTGCTGGTGAGCGGTTTTGCTGCGATTGTGGGCGTGTGTGGGCGGTTGTGGGTGGGCGCTCTTCATTCTGGGCTTGTGGGCGCTTTTGCCGGCGCCCACATGCACCCACATGCGCCCACATGCGCCCACATGCGCCCACATGCACTCGCGTCAGCCCGTTTTGTCCCGCTCGTTCCCGTTTTTTCCCGCTCGTTCCCGTTTTTTCCCGTTTTTTCCCGCTCGATCCCGTTTTTTCCCGTTTTTTCCCTCTCGATCCCGTTTTTCTTTCTTTTCCCACAATCAACCAGAAGTGCCCAGCGCCCACATGTTTCATCCCTTTAAGATGCACACAAGCCCACAAGCTGCACCGTTGTGGGCTCACTTGCTGTGAGTAGGCCGGCACCTGCAGGTGGCACCCTTTGCTGCGCTTTTGCTGCACTTTTCGGTGGGCGCTTGTGGGCTTTTGCTGGGCTTGGGCGCTTTTGCTGGGCTTAGGCTTGTGGGCGTTGGCGCGTGCTCGGGCGCTTTTGCGGGGCTTGCTGGGTTTGTGAGTGGGCTGGGCTTGTGGGTTGGCGATCTTGTGGGCTTGTGGGCTCTTTTCCTGGCTTGTAGGTTGTGGGCGCTTTTGCTGGGCTTGTGGCTCAGCACTTGCGGGTGGGCGCTTTTGCTGGGCTGCTCTTGCTGGGCTTTGCGGGC